CTCCTATCCTCCACAGTCGGGTCATCGATCTTCTTCGGTCTCTACACCCACGCAGGGCACTCCTACGCCGCTCGCGAGGACTGGGAAGCGATGGGAATTCTCGGCGCCGAGTTCACTGCCTTACACGACGTAGCTTCAGTCGTTCGAAAAGAACGCCCCGATCACCCCCTAGTATTGAGTGTGGGCGCAACACCAACCACAACAACGCTCCAACATCCGGATTTCAGCTCCTACGAAACTGAATCGGACCCCACCATCTTGAGCAATCTCTCAGCAACATCGATAATGAAATCACACATCTCCGCCATGCGGTCCGAAGGTCTAACGCTAGAAGTCCACGCCGGCGTCTATCCCACTCTAGACATCCAACAACTGGCCGCGCACGCAAGAGACAGCACCTATCTAAACCCCTCCGCAATCGCCATAACAGTGCTCGCAGACGTCGCCTCAGTCTACCCGTCCCGAGGCCCCAACGGGACGTCCGAAGCACTAATAAACGCCGGCTGTCTAGCCCTAGGCCGCGAGCCCGTCATCGACGCAGGACCCACGCCAGGCATTCATTACTCCTCGCACGGAATCCTCATGCCCTGGTCCGGGACCAAGAACGAGATCCCGGGGCCAGAATTTCCCGCGAAGCACGGCGGGTGGCAGGTCACGCGGCTAGCACAGGAACACGGGATGTTGAGCTGGAAGGGTAAGCCTGAGGACGAGGCGGATTATGAACTCAAGGTTGGACAGAGGGTTAGGGTTTGGCCTAATCATAGCTGTATTACGGGCGCGGGGTATGCTTGGTATCTTGTTGTGGACTCGAGGAATCTTGGGAGGGAGGATGAGATTGTGGATGTTTGGTGTCGGTGGAATGGTTGGTAAGGGGTTTTACTAAGGGGAAGAGTTACCATAGATGGAATATGGTATTCGGGATAGGGGCATAAGGAGTTTGACCACTGCATCGCACAGCACAGCATGGAAATAAGCATGACTATGAGAAGGAATATCACCAAAGAAGTAAATCTGATATCAAAGTTGGTGAGAGCCTCGTCAATTGTCTACAGGTCACATGTAGCCTTTGACACAGATACGTTGATCTACCTAAGAGATCTGGACGACTATGCTCATCCACAAAGTCCAATTCTCCATGGCTCTAGACAAAGAACAGCAATTCTTTCGGTTCGTAAAAACACATTTTGAGTCTCGTCAAACAACTCCATACGCCAAAATCCTTCCCAGCCTTTCCTCACTGGTGGCTGCTCTCGAGTACGGCGAAGCATGTGACTCTCGTAGACATTCCTGCCTTCGTGGGACCGCATTTCATACTTTCTTGTGACCAGTTCTTTCCCGATCTTCACTCGCAGTAGAAATATCCTCAAGAAACGTCTACTTGCACCGCTTCTCAACAATACCCGCACCATTCTCTTCGTACTCCTTCCTACTGATCCACATCTGATGGAACGTGCCCAGACTGGCCAGAATACTGCCACCAATCCAGGCACCAAACCGTCTCTCCGTCGTAAGACCAGCAGCATGTAATTTGATCTTCATGCCGGGGTGCATAGCCATAAGCTCGTTGTTCAACCGATCGTTGAATCCATTCAACAGACTCGTGCTACCGGTTACGACGACGTTTCCGAGCAAGTTAGGGCGTAAATCGACGTCCACGGCAGAAAGACAGGCTTTGATCAGCTCGGGGATAGTCTGGGCTTTGGAGCCGTCTGGCAGAGGAAGGGCGGCACTCTCGTCCCACATTCCCTCGGATACAGCGAACCGCTGCTCCCGCCACATCTGGTTCGATCCGTCGGGCATCTCAAAAACGCGACCGGGCTGTGTCTTAACTAGATCTTCGTTACCCGGGTTCAAGTACCTACCAGGACCTTTCCAGACCTCGACGACGCTCTCCTTGTACTCGGTCAACAGCTTTTCCTCCTCGTACGCATGGAAGCTCGGGTGGATATCGTAGGCATATTTCTTGCGCTCGGCCTGGGCTGGGGCCCCGGCTTCGACGGCATTCTTACTGCCGACGAGATATGAGGGTACGATGTCGATTGTAGGGTCGGAAGCTGCCCACATCGATTTTATCTGTTGTGAGAGCCACAAGCCACCAATCTGAGATCTCTGGACGCTGCGCTTGAGGATCATGCCGTCGTGGATGGCGGTGACGGATGTGTTGGCGCCGCCGACGTCGATGACGAGGGCGGAGGCTTTGCCGGCTGCGAAGGCGGCGCAGACGGGAGTGCGGCAGAGCCAGAATGCGGGAACGCCCCAGTTCTCCATGGCGATCTCGATAGCCTTCTCGCGGGCCTTACCCGAGTTCCAAGGGGCTTCGGTAATGAGGACTGGGCTCTCAGCGAGCGCCTTTTCCTGGGCTTCAGAATCCTCCATGATAACGTCCCCTTGGTCGTCGGAGGGGTCGTTGAGGCCGTTCTTGTGCGGGGGAGCCTGCTTCTCGGGCTGAAGGCGGCGGATCAGCATGTCCTCCCAGATCTGCGTGGCGGCATCCCAGTCCTCGACGACACTGTCGGTGCGCGACATGTAGTTCTTGAGCTCGAACTCGGGACGGGGGAAAATGCACTCGTCGCTGAAGACATCTTTGTAGGAGGTGGTGGTGCTGTTGGCGTTGCTAGACTTTAGGCGGCCGTAGAAGGAGGGCAGGACGGATTTGGGGACATCTTCGCCGGCGAAACCTGCGCGGGTGTGGCAGTAGCCGGGGTCGAGCACGAGGGCTGAAACCTCATCTACAGTGGCGGATAAGTGTTAGATGTGACTCGAAGCAAAAGGCGCGGTGTAGGCCCAGGCGCAAAGCAAGGCTCGGGGGAAACGCACCTCCACCATAGACATCCAGCGGAGCTTGGGTGTTGGGGAGAGGCTGTTGGGCGGCCATCTCGAGGGTCGGCTATGGCCAATTGACACAATTTGCAGATGGTTGACTACAGTAGGTAGGCAGTTGCGAGCGAAAGGAGTGAAGAAAATGGGTTGTGTCAGCGAGTGTAGGATCGTCGCAAATGATGTGGTGGTTTTCAATCGCGTCTCTATCAGCGACGACCTCTCAGGAAGCTACCTAGTACAGCTGCAACGGCGGCGCGTGGCTGGTAGATGGAGGGGTACAAAGGTACTTCTACAGCTACCTAAGGTACCGTACCGCAGCTATCGCCGGTGACAGTTTGTTGGTGCATGTGGTGATGGGGGGTGGGTCAGGTATGCTTCGAGTTGAACCTGTGGATGGCAGTCGGTGTTTCAGTGAGGTGCTTTCCATGTTCGCCATCAAAAAGACATCGGAAAGTCATCCATCTTCAAGAGCTTTAGACGAATCGCACCCACTCAATTGGCCCATGGGGTGTGTATTTGTTTCTTCCGCGATTGGACACAAACAGAGGAATACAAACATCCAATGTCGTAGCCACCGTCGCCAGCTCTTCCAATAGACTCTGGACGAAATGTCCCTGTTGTCAGCCGACGAGGACGACTTCCTCTCCGACAATCAATCCAATGCCTCCTCCTCGGGCGACGACGAGCCCTTTCCTCCCATACCACTGAGTCAGAACTATTTCGCACCACCGTTCTACGGTCGCCCACCAACGCCTCTGCCGCCCTCGCCATCATTGACATCTCTGCTGCGACCGTCGCGTCCCACGACTCCAGACCCCTCCGACGATGAGCTTGAGCCTGTACCCCGCGCTTCTCCCAAGGTGCCCACTTATGAATACTATGGCTTCGTCCTCTATCTCTTCTCCTCCCTGACCTTTCTGGTGTACCTTCTCTGGGCCTACCTCCCTGCGCCATTCCTCCATGCTCTAGGCATATACTACTACCCCAACCGCTGGTGGGCGCTCGCCATCCCCTCCTTCATCACCATGTTGCTGGTCTACATATATGTCGCGCTTGCTCTTTTGAACACGGAGGTCTTGACGCTACCCATGACATCCATCGAGACTATCGTGGACGAAGCCGCAAAGATAGCTACCGTCGACAGCAAAGGACGCATCAAGAGTGGTGAGCGGAAGCAAATCACGCAGGAGAAGGCTAGACAGCTGGACTGGAAGAATATTTGGAATACGGGCACGGACGCCGTCATGGACGTGCCACTCGCCGGCGTCTGTGAGGTTTTGTATGGAGATCTGGTTTCGGACGAGGACGGTTGTATTGATGATACCCATTGAATTGGTTTACGTTTCTTCAAGCATTGCGTCGGCGTTTACAGTCCAACATAACCCTGGACAATATAGGAAAATACCTTGATTAAGAAGACATATTCTGCGTCTGAATTAGACCTCGTCCTTTCGGGTTGACTACAGGAACGTGTCCAGTCACTCAAATCTGATCAGGCCCGTACCGCTATTATATCCTATTCTGTTGGGCATGCTACATACACACACCTCTTACCACGACCATTCCTATTAAACAAATTTGCGCAACATTTTATGGGCTGGTATTACGGTCTCGAAATCAACACACCCCACTGACGCCCATCATCCATGCAGCATATTGCAGCAACACCGTCTCGCGTCCTTAAGGTTCCCCGGTTTCAACTCCGGATTTGCAACGGTTCAACGTCGTACTCCACATTCACGAACGAAGAACTCTCGATGGGCATGGAACGCAATCCCGAATTCCATGTTACTGTTCTGAAAAACAAATATCGTAACCCCTATTCAACGGATGGCTTCATCTCATCACTTTTAATACTCGATTACGGACTCCGGACACAACGCCAAGCCTTCAAATCCCAAACCTAGCCAGCAAAGCCAAGAGTCAGCTCACCTTGCCATGTCATTACCTGCAGCATATTCATGACCATAATCCACATATCGAACCAGCATGTAACAAGGGTCTATCTAGCCTTACCAAGCCAAAACGACTCCCGGGGCCGAACCTCACATCTTAACTCTCATGTATCACAAGATGTTGACACCCTGAGGTCCTTGAGCCCTGACACCTTTGCGCTCTAACTCTCATTCCTGATCCCATTCAAAGTCACAAAGAGACCACCCCCTTCAACAATCACGACCGGTCGGTTAGCTCAGTCGGCAGAGCATCGCAATCACATACCTCTTCACGAGGTTCGATAGCTGCGAAGGTCATAGGTTCAAGCCCTATACTGACCAATATCTTTTTTTCAAACCCGTTTCCCTTGCCTCCCCATTTTCTTTACTTTTCGTCAATGATTCATCCGAGGAACCTTTCACAGCCATTAGCCCTTCCCATCTCAACAAACAACAGTCCGGGTCGGTTAGCTCAGTTGGCAGAGCATTGCAATTACACTGCAAAGGCCATAGGTTCAAGCCCTATACTGACCATCTCTTTTTTTGGCCCCTTCTACTATTTGCCCTCGATTCAAGTTCGCCTGGTGTTCTTTCTGTTCTCCAGTAAGCATATCCACGCATGGCCTACCAACCCACAATGACCATGTCTCTTTCCAGCTGGTTCATTCTTACCTTGTCCCTCATGCCGCTGCCTCCCATATCCTCGTCTTATCTTTTGCCCAGATGAGCTAGCTGGATCCTACATAGTCATTATTCCACCTAGACTCCTAACAAGCACTGCTGGTCGGTTAGCTCAGTTGGTAGAGCATCTCATTTACTCTGAGAAGGCCATAGGTTCAAGCCCTGTACTGACCATAGCATATCTTTTGGACTACGAGGTCTTCGAATACACCTATTCTTTTTTTGCTATTTTCGCTATTTGCCGAGTGTTTATATGAAACAATCTCTAATCTACAGCGTAGTGGTCAATCGTACGCAAGACAGATTCAAGTCGACTCAAGTATGGGAATGTTTTCTTTTCCTAGCTCAAGCTATTTCCCATGTCTAGATTCAACAGAATACTCACAGAATCCCATTTCATGCTTCTGTGTCTCAACTGGTTACCTCTGGAAACCAGGATCACGATGTATTGCGTCTTACTACGCAGTGCCAACCCACGACAAGGTGCATGCAGTACCTAGTGCGTAGGCTGAACTTTGAAGTCGCCCGCGGACGTTCCGAGGACGGGTAACCTTGGACTTAGCGGCGGTAGTGAAACGCGGGGAATCGGCTGATCGGAACACTTGGTTATGCTCTAGTTTAACGCCGAGCTCATTCGGACATAGTGGAGTTTATGAGCGACCCCCTGGAACCAACGCCGCCATCGCACAAGCTTGAATGGACGGGACTGGGACGGAATTTTCTATGTCCACGTTGAACTGGCATGCAAGAGAGCTTGAAGAACACGTCGACACGATGAAACCACGATCAGTTGGCCGTTCATATCCGGATGCAGTTCAAGTTGCCACTACCAGCCACTGTCCCCAGCCACAATTCTTACATGAAAGACATGGATAAATGCAAGGTAGGTTGCATCAGCAGAATCGCCATGTCTCCATCTACATCTCAAACATGCTCACTCTAGAGGACCGTGAAGAACATGGCGAAGCCTATCATCCGTCGCGAGAGCTATACTCTCAGGTACATATATGCTCTGCCAGTTGACCTTGCTGCTGTGCGACATATGCTAGATGAAGAATATTCTGACCCAACACTGGACCAAGAAGACGCCGCTATAGTCAACTTTGGTCGGATCCATAACTATAATGTTATTTATTGTCCGCCTCCCAGCAGGTTGATGGGTACAGTCCGATGGCTGTATGATGCCGAACACGAACTGCTCTCATAAGTGTCACGCATCGCGATCATCGCGCGAAGAAGGTTTACTGATCACAGATAGTGGGCTTATTTATGTTCTGTCAATTTAGCGTGACAAAAGCTCATAGTCAATTGAAGGCAGGTGACATCGAGAAGGACTTAGTTGTTCTTCGTATCGTTTAGCCTGGTAACTATCAATCAGCTAGTTTTCAAGTTCCCTCAGTCTTGCTCTCATTGTACATGTTGAACCCTATCGAATTGTAGTTGCATCGAGTAAGTGTCTATAAATGTCGAGACCGCGCCCGCCCTTTCGAGCCACCACTCTTCATCACCTGTCCAATTCAGAATCAAGTAGCGTTGATATCATACTACTGGCAACACACTTTCCGTTATAAACTATCCAATGACGCTAGCACTTGTCCTAGGCCTAGCTATAGGCTGCCTCTCTGCCAGCCTTCCACCTACAGTAAACGTAAGCTGCCTTCCCAATCATGAAACTAGTCACACGTCTCCCTTATACTAATTGTACGTCGACACAGTCTACGGACGCAATTGCCGATATTGCCACTGTCAATTCGTTATCCGTGGCGGACGCGGCAGTCGAAAATGTAAGTTTGCGACAAGGCGGATCATGCCAGCTTACAGACTTACAATTTTGTATAGTCCCAGAAGAAGTGCCAGCAAGCTGCTTGTAAGGCATGTCTGAAGCACTGTGTTTGGACACTCATATTTTACGAGATGTGCAAATATAACAGCTGTATCAAGCCTGGAACCTGCAAAAACTGTGGTCTAGAACCATGATTGGATTAATTCTGTCAATGCGAGTGGTTAGGCGTCGTATTGTTTCTTGGTTGGCCATAGGTGACTATACCCTATCACTCGCAACTTGACATATTCAGATCTCAATAGATATATCAGGTTGCACCAGTTCATGACGGTCTTCAAGATTAGGCCTGATTCTACCAATCATGGACATCAACCTTCGTCTTAGTTGATGCTCCTGATGGGGGTTCTAGTGATAAAATGCGGTCTCTGGTATCCTTCCTGGATCCGGTCGTGCCTGGCAACTGGGATGAACCTCCGACCAAGCTTCACGATTGCATAAGATGTGTATCAGGGACGAAACGGTCAATCCACTTCCTACTTTCAAATGATAGAGAACTCTTAGTCTTGTAATCAAGCAGGAGTCAATTGAGACGGCCTACGATTTTGTCAGTTGCGGAGTTAGCCCTGATTTCGCATGACAAGGGAATGTATGACTACCTAATGGCCAGTGCGTTACTAGATGCCGGGGCCGTCGTCCATACACGAGACGAACTTGGGCACCAGACACGCTACATGTCGCCTCATGAAAGGCTATCCTAATCTAGTCAGATATTCAATAGCACGCGGCGCCAATATAGACACACTAGAACCGCGCTGTCACACCGCTCTGGAGTTCCGGAGCACAGGCTGGCAGGCCCCTTGGCAACCAAGGATCGAAACCAAACAGAAGGAAGATTTTGAGATACATAGTACGATTCTTACGCAAGCGACTTATTAGTAAATGCTAGCCCGCGGTTGAACGTTCTGTTTTGCGCATATTATATTAGTCACATGAGTTAGACAACTATGCAAATACCTATATACAACGTTACAGGATGTGTGTCAATCATTCTCTCAATATTCCGATAGATATGAATCAAACTGTATTGGACAGCGAGAATATAGAGGGTTTTTTTTATGTTAGTGAGTTGGATCATATCATACCTCCTTATACGGCAGACCCTCGATGAGTTTGGATGAAAATCAAAGGACCCTTTCTTGTGCCAATTATTTTGACGGTCGGTGTCTTCCCCTGCCCCACCAAATCCGCGAAATCTCACTCACCCCACCAAGTCACTCATCAACTGAACAAGAACAAATGTCATTACAACCACTCCAGAATCTCACGAAATCCCCAATGGAAGAACTACCCATCGAGCCCCGTGGTCTCCGCGTCCAGCAAAACTTCATAACGTCCACACACGAAGCGCAACTTCTGCACATATTCCGGCACAAACTTGTCTGGCCGGTCTCCAAAAACCCCGGCGCGGCGCGCCTCTCCCTACACTACGGCTACACATTCGACTACAAAACATTTGGCATTGATCCAGATATACCATATAAGCCCTTTCCAGATTGGCTGGAACCGTTGATCCCGACGACGGAAGGCCGACCGCCGGATCAAGTCTGTCTACAATGGTATCCTCCCGGTGCCGGAATCCCGCCTCATGTCGATACGCATAGTGCTTATGACCAGCTCTACGCGCTGAGTTTGGGGAGTGCTGTGTCTATGCAGTTTCGCACTACTGTCGATGATTCTAGCGATAGAGGCACGAATGAGGAGGGCAATGGCGAAAGTATTGGACGGACTAAGAACGACGCGAATGGAAATGGAAATGGAGAATTGAAGGCACAGAGACAACAAGTGGAAATCGACCTCCCGCCCCGGTCAATGATGCAGATGACAGGCGAGTCGCGCTTGCACTGGGAACATGGGATTAAGAAGAGGAAGAAAGACGTACTGCCTGATGGCTCAGTAAGGATGAGGGAGGAGAGATGGAGCATTACGTATAGGTGGCTGAGAGAGGGTGGGGTCTGTGAGTGTGGAAATGCGAAGTTGTGCGATACGGCGCAAACGAGGTTGGGTGTTGAGAGGGAGTTGAGGTGGAAGACACAGGGGAAGGGAATTGGTGTTGAGGCAGAGGGAGAGGGAGAGTGTGGTAACGTTGGTGAGAAGGGGAATGGTGAGAATGGGGCTTTGGGCGATAGTAAGGAGGATGGAAGTGGTAGTAATATATTGATTCCACCATATCTGACTTGCTATTCTAACAGTGCGTGTGCGTGAGTGGTGGTGTATGAATGGATCTCAATATGTATCGCGGACCGAATTGGTGCGACATTTCAAAGTCGTAAATGCAAAGACCTAAATGAGCAGGGCGGGACAGGTGTTGAGGGAAATGTAGGTGATGACCACGGTCGTTCTACTCACGATACTTAAGTCTCTCTGCCTTAGAATAAGAACTTGTCCAAGACTGCCGCTAGTATGATGATACAAAGACTAACTAGTTGGTTGACTATGCCGTTGGGACTTTCTAGCATGACGATTCCTATTCCCTATGTGGTATACAATGATTGAATCTGCAATTGTTGACTTGCAGTCTGAATTCAATGCTTACAGTATGTCACTACACTGGCACAGGCCACCCTAAACGGAGTCCTCTCACGTACTTTTGATGCTGATCACTTTATCAAGATCCCTACACCTTCATTCACCTCTACCCGCTAAACCCACACCGACACAGGGCTGAACAGGGGGACAACTTAAAAAGTTGGATATCCCGCCCTTCCCGTACGATGAACCATGCTCACCCCGCCAATAATCCTAGAACTTTGATTCCTTGTTGGACAAGATGACGGACAGAGGTTTTATCTATCACGCATCCCCAGGATGTAGTTCGATGCAGTATTGCGGACTCAGCGGTCGCTTGGACTCTGCAGAACCCGTACAAGCCTCGGTGCAACATACGATATATTACTTTACACTTTCACTTTGTTATCTACCATACCGATCGTATCTTAGTTACACACCCAATCGAGAACCAAACTACTGAAATCAGCCAGGAGGCAATATGACTAATATGACGATAACTCCC